TACCTGCCTAAAGCGATGCAGCGGCTTCGGAAGTGAATGAATGCGTGAGTAATGAATGGAGGATGTGGGGAGTGTGTGGGGGTGGAACTCCTTTTTAATACATTCCGTTCCGTTAACTTCCCCCGGATCAGGGCGGCGGCGGCGGGCGGCGCGCAGGCGGGCGGGGGAAAAAAACTGTCACACAAAACGGCGGCTTTTGATTTTTTTTAATGTCACTTGCTATGTCCATTTCCTCGCGGCATTCTCCGATCAATCCTTCCCATCAAACTCATAGCTTACAAGTGCACACACACACATGCATACATACATGCATACATCCGGAGATTGGAGGTGGGGTGTCGGTCGGCCGGTAAGGTTCGCTGACAGGTGACAGGTGACAGGTGACAGAGTTGGGGGGATGCACGATAATTTCGAAAATTTTGTCACGTTCAAGCGAGGGAGTTTTTTTCGGATGTTCGGACGCCGGTGACAGTCGGAGACTCGGACTCGGCAATCCCTTCCTTTCGCCCCGCGCCCCCCCTTTGTACGCGAGCGTGCGTGCGTGCGCGATATGAGATAAATACATATATATGAGCCCTTGTAAGTTTACGCGCACGGTTGTGTTGAACATGCGGGGCCAGCCAGCCACACTGCGTCAATGAACGAGCGTGCACCTTGTGGGTTTTATTTATTTATTTATTTTGTTGCAGCCACACTACTACACTACATTACACTTACACTACACTTACTGTATGACCGCCAATGAACGCGCGCGCACCTTGTGGGTTTTTTTTAAATTATTATATTCGTTGTTGTGGCTCCCAAGGCTAACCCTGATCCACCCGCAGGGACGCTGACGCTGAAGAGAATCCTGGGGCTCTCTGCTGTATTGTATTGAATATCGGGTATCGGATTCACGATCGATTTTTGATGGATCCATCCATTGCATTTTGGTGTTGGTTGCTGGTTGCTGGTTGGTTCGGTTGGTTCGGTTGGTTCGGTTGCGCGGAGGGTCATGTGGCTTTGTATATCTATATATATATATGAGTTATATGCGAGACGAGACGAGTGTGGCCCCTATGTGGATACGTGGCCTAGTTTGGCAAGTCGTTTTTATTTATATATATATATATTGTATATTGTATCGTAGGAGTAGAGTGGCCTGGGTTGGGGTAGTCGTGGCCGCATGCGACAATTTTTGAATACTGAATGCGGGATTCTGGGGAAAGGTGTGCTTCTTTTTTTTTATTTTTGTTTTATTTGGGAAATCCGACCGACGTGCCTCGTGGGGGGGGGGGGGTTTCTTCGTGTGGGATTTTTACAGTCCTGTAAGAGGGTGAATATATGACTGTTTGCGGAACGGCACTTTTCTTTGTTTGTTTTTCTGGGTTTTGTTTTGTTTTTTGGGTCTTACTGTAATGTCCGCCTCCCCGCTCCGCCTCCTCTCCCCCCCCTTTGTTTTTTCTTTTTTGGTTGACCATGGCTGCTGTTCTTCTTGCTGTCGTTTCAGGGTGACAGGGTGTAGGTGGCCAAAGGTCGAGTTTGGGGTGCCTCCGGACGTGCGCCCGTCTCCCCTGGTGGGAGCGGCATACGTATCGTATGAAATACTGGAGAGATTCAATTTCAACGATTTTGGGAAGGGGGCGGGGCCGAGGGGGGCGCTGAATCGGGGCAGGGGTCGGCACATGTGGGGCGGAAAACCCGCGGATAGGTTCGGCCCACGGATAGGTTCGGAGCGAGGGAATTGTCGTTTGTTTGTTTGTTGCTATATTTACCGTGGAAGACACCGCGGGTACAGTAGTAGTTCGATCGAGGGATGGTGGATGCTAATTGACAACTGGTAACAATGCAACAAATGCAGTAAATGGTGTGCTTCGATGAGGGGGGGGGGGAGAAATGGGCGAGAAGCTAACTAACTCTGGGAGCTGCCACTGTCAGGGGCTTGGGTTTCTGACGTGGGATTACCTGAGAATGACGTGGATTTACTTTTTCTGTGTTTGTTTTTTTGTTTTCACACTTGTCCTTGGCAATTACGATCGCACTCGTTTGTAATATGTAATAATAATAATAACCTCCCCCCCCCAAAAGAAATCCTCTTTCCAAAATGCGGTGGCATTGCAAAAAAAGGGGGCGGGGGGGAAATGCTCCCGGAGATCGACCAGCTCGTTGCTCACTCAAACCTTGGAAACAGGCACTGCTTCAAACCAAACTTTTTGAATTTCACAATTCCTGATGTTCAGAAGGGCCAAAAAATTACATCCAAGTGTGATGTGTATTGTAGCCTTGAACAATATTTGATTGCCAGTGGAAATGAATTCAGGAGAAAGGGGGGGGGGGGAGCAGGCAGGGGGGATTTTCCTCATTGCCAACACCCTCCTTCCTTCCTCGCTGTCAGAGCCACGTTTCACTATCGTTCCTCTCTCCTCTCATAGGTTTTTTGATAAAATTCAGCCCACATGACACCTCTCAGCGGGGGCGAATAGCTACATACACTCGCAATTGGTCGGATGTTGGTCCGGGCCACCATGGCAAAGCAATTGCGAAATCAATCCATACGTACATACACACAATCTGATATGATAGATGTAGGTTGCAGTGTGCGATTGCTATCCTTCGTTTTTGCTCACAAACCAGCTTTTGATTTCACAGCCTCTAGCTCCGGAGATGCCCCTTAGGTTTAGCTTAGGTACATACATATTCGGGACAGGAATACAGCACTGTACATAAATAACTAGAAAGGCGCAAGCAGATGGTGCGAGGGAGGGAGGGGGGGGTTGTCGTCCCTGAGCTCTAGCTATTGGAGGCGAAAATAAAATTCAAAAAGAGAAAGAGAAAGGGAGATAGATAAGAGGGAAAGGCACGGCGATTGGCGTTCTCACAGGCACCATCGTCGTGGCTTTCAAATATAGAAAATACATTGAGGCACGGTACGCCACAATAGGGACGTACTTGGGCGTGTGTATGTGTGTGCTTTGGGACGGGTTATCATTCTCGGCCCTTGTTTGATGGGCCCTATTCTTTTCTGGTCTGCATTATGCAATGGATGGCCGTTTGCGCTCCCATAATTATGATGACTTGCCGATGGTCAATCATTTTTCGTTGTGAGCATGATCGGCAAACTCTTTCGGCTTGATTCCGCCCGCGCGCCCGCACCATGTACGGGACTTGCCGGTCAACGGTTCCCCCATCGCTGAACATTAAAAATAGGCTGGGGCTGGCTGGCTGCTGCTGAGCCCTCTCCCTCTCGCAAAAACTGAGAACTATGGCTTTAAGGTGATTAGTCTATCGCTCGGAATTGATTTTTCCTTGCCGGACTTGAATTACAAGTCCTGGGGTACTGTAATCTCCGTATTACGGTACAGTACTGTACTTGGAATGTAGGTCTCGGTCCACCCAGTCATGCATTAATTGTCATTTTAGCACGGTTCAATAACGAGAAGCTTATGTGGCGTCGGATGAGGACATGGGAAAGAGATGCGGACCACGAAAGCCTCCACAAAGGTACTGTAAGGGAATCAAATAGTCGAACTGTAACTAATGCCGTTCTGTCATTCCCGGATGGCAGGAAAAATTTTCGAGTCACCATCGGAGTGCAGTTGGACATCGATTCCTCCGTAGATACATGAAGTCTTCGATGCACAAAGCTGTTCAAGTTCGGAGCCAAGCGGAAATGCTGAATTCATTGCGGGTGTGTACGAGATACATATTTGATGATCGTCCGTAAACCCCAGACCGATAGACACGACCGGACCGTATCCGTTGATGAATTACGATCAATTGCAATTGGAATGATATGCTTAACTTTATATATACTACTCTGCCGGCAAGAAAGAGGCATCAGGTACTACCGGAACCAGGGAACTAGCTGGTTCCATGGGAGACTTGTACCCATAATTTCGTCCGGGAACAAGGGATATCATTGTAGAGATGCATACACGTTCGCACGTCGTTTTTGAATGGGGTTCTATTCCCCCTGAGAGGAAGGCAAGTACAGCGCACAGCGTAGTAGGGCAATCCATTTCCTCTCGATATCGATAGCCACTAACCGTAGAAGAAGATGCGGTCCGGTGGGAGCTCACAGTGGGGCTTGACGCACGATCGTGCAAATAAATGATGTAAGCATAGTATGAGTAATTCCTCTCGCATATCGACCTCAATAGGCAGAGTTCTAACCATGTTCGATATATGAGGCCAGGGAGGAGCATGGCTGAAGGGTTATCGCAGATAACCCTCTACGAGGTCAGCGCGTGAAAAAAAAGAACTCCGTCCGGGAATCGCGCAACCGCCAATCGCTCGGAGTAGGGGTATGCAAGGGTGCGAAGGATAACCCTATGCTCAACTATCTATATGCAATCGATACGTTACAGTAACGTTATTTGATTCTGAACGCGGTGTCCTCGTATCGCAGGCCCTATCAGGAGTCCTGAACAGGATGTTTGTGCTTCTCGGCGAGGGGCCACTACCATTCGCAATCGATGCCGATTGCTGTGCGTGTGGCGGTCTGAATAATCCACACATTTTGCAGGGTGTGTGCTGACTGATGATAACGACATCGCACGGGTGCGTGGCGTTGCAGGCACCGATGTAAGCCGTGTTTGCCCACGCTCCCAAGCAAAGGATTGGTAAGCAACCTTGCGCCACCACTGATCTATTCGAGGTTGTGGCCCGATGCCATTCGTCAGATAAGGGACAGGTGGGTGTCAGCTTAGCCACAGAACTTCTTGATTCGATAGAGAACAATCAATGCCGAAGAATAGGAATTTCAGGGAGAAGGTTCGGGCAGGAGACTAAGGAATTCGCCGCCGGAAGCGAATGGGATCCCGATGCGTATGGTCCCTTAGACTCAGAGAAAGGAAGGAATTACCGAATAGGATTCGACCTGCTGCTGCTGTAGCTCGACGGCATGGGGGAGTCGACAAAAAACTTATTAACTACAACGGTGTGTTTTTTTTTGAAGGCTTTGAGGAATGGGGGGCATCATGACCCGTAGGGTCTTCCGCAATCCCCGAACTTCAAAAGAATGCCACCACTGTGGATCGAACACAGGATCTCCTCTTGGGCACATCAGTACATACGAGAGAGGCGCTCTACCACTGAGCCATAGCGGCCTGTCTCAGGCCCTCGCCACTTAACCTACTTGAGCGAATTTGTCAAGTTTCCTTTTACAGTGCCACTGCCATAAACACTGATTTGAGTGATGATGACGATGCCAAGCTCCCTGCGTGGTCTATGAACGGTCCTTTTCGTTTGTTTTCACCTTTGGTTGCACCATGCAATGTGATCCTTCCACTCTGAGATTTAATGGCCTTTGTGACAGGGCCGGGGAGGTTGAGCCACACTGCTGTGGACACATCGCCGATGAAATTATTGGCTAGAACTTGACTCCAATAGATATCTACACTTCGAATCTGAATCTTCGAATGTGGCTTGAACACGATAGGAAGCGGTTAGTACAACGAGAAATTCTGGTCAGAATTAAATTTCACAATGCATGAGAAATTCGTGTTCCAATTAGCAAGAAGCAACGGGCAATCCGGTCGGGGAAAAGCACCCAGACCGAAGCCGTAACAGCGTGCGTGAGGAAACCGAACCAGGGCCCAGCGGATGTCACAAGATAATCAATTTGGGCAGTCTGTCCAGAAAAAGCTGAGGAAGGCCGTCGCAAGTTTTGAGTACTGCCGGACATATCCTCTTGCTAATCGATTTGGACTTGTCATACGGGCGTAGCTACAGTATCACTGATGCCCAGATGCAGACGGAATTCTTACCAGAAGGCTGGGTTCACTGAGTTAGGATCAAAAATAGCAACGCTCTGCAAGACCAGATCGATCTAGAATCCACTTCAGCAAAACTCGCATTATCTCAAATGCATTCTCCTGAGTTAACGATCAATCAGGTGTCCTTGTTGTGATATGGCGAAGGATGGAAATCGCGAAGGACCGAAGAGATCAAGATCTTGGATTCCTATTATGGTGTTGGTTGTTTCAACAGGATAGGGAAAATTACAAGCACCACGTCTCGGTGCTATTCCACACAGGTGGATCGCCAAAGGGCGGATACGCTGGAAGGGCCATCGGAGAGGTCGAGCGCTAGCAGATTCCATCGGCAATCTCCGTCTGCCTCGGCCTCTTTCGAACCTACTGACGCGTCTTGTCGGCCAATTCACAACTTTTGGGAGTCCCACTACGTCGGGCGTTGAAGGAGTGACGTCTCGAAAAAATATAGTTTGGAATGCAGCCATTCTTTGGCCCAAACCGTCCTCGGCAGATTAACCTTGGTGGTACTTCCACTACTGCCTCTCATGCCTCGATCCTAGACGGCGTCAAAGCCCGGCGCTCTGAACGTCAGGATGCTGCAAGAAGGTGGTTATCACCTTAACGGATCCCTAAGATCCCATTGTTTCTGATCCGCTTATGATAGGGCTGAAAGCGCTCTGAGAATTCAAGCTTGGTATCGCGGGCGATCACAAGGCCGTCAAGTGCGCGAACATCTCAGAGCTCAATTCGATGCTGGTTCAAGTAACTTTGTCTATTGGACTCGATGTTTGACTGTTGCATGGGTGGGTGGCCCTGCTGACGAAGAGCGCTTGGCCAAGTGGTCTTTGACCATGGGCCAAATAGGTGTGTTTGTCTTTTCCCTGTCGTCGTGTCATTGTATCTGATTCAGTTACAGACACGCTTCTCGCTCCTTTCCTCGGTTCGGAACGGGAGGCTTGGCTCGTGTTAGTCCGACAAGTCGCCACACTTTTGCTACGTTCGCTAGCTCAGGCCCCAACGTGAGCTAATACTTATAATAGGACCAGTTTATTTACTCACTTGGCTGTTTTCTAATTAATCAGATCCCCGTATTCAATAAACCATTTGGTTGTCCTCGACGTTCTTCTTGCCTCCCAGACACTCGAACAACGCCTTCCATCGTTAGGAAATGCCTTGTGTGCTTCCATCACATCATATCTCCTTTCCCGAGGCATTTTCTCCTCCATCGCTCGCGCCCTCTTTCAAATCGCAAGTGTAAATTATACTTGCTGGTTATCCTCGCCTGACCGTGCCGTCCGTATTCAGCCCTTGGAAGCCAAATCATCGCCATCAATCCCACCATTGATTTCACTTGCATTAGCACCTCTGGCAACTTTCCCTACGTCATCGCCTTTCTACTTACAAGCCCTCCAAGATTTCACCCTGTCCATTCTTACCATCAAACTTCTACCTAATCGACTACCTATCCCAACTGTCACATATCTGTCTGGTCATCTACCCTTTTCATCCCTCACCCTCCTCGATGTGGACTATGTAGTAATTGGACTTTCAACATCGCCGGAAAGCCGCTTACACCTTCTCGCCAATCTCATTGCCTTTGGATCAGCACGCGTCCCCTCGGCTAATGCTCCAACCCTGGCCATGTATTTACATTTCCTAACTGCGCTGATGGATTCTCTTCCACCAGGGTGCCTCGAACCTAACAATGCCAATGCTAAAAAGCAGGCAGGTAACTGGGCGGAGGACTCAGCGTCCGCCTCTGGTGGCTCTGACGACGAATCACACCCAACACGCTCCACAGAAGCCCCAAGTCGGCGCAAACAGCCTGATTTCTTCAGTCTCGATTCCAAGACGCAGCTGAGACTGCACACCCTATGGTCCTCTGCGCATATCTCCTCACTCTTGACAGCTACATCGCGCCATCCGAAAGCCCGATCGCGCATCTTTTCGTTTTTGATAAGTCTTTGCGCTGTTTGGCCCTCAAAAAGAGATCGCGTAATGGCGAACCTCAATGGTGGAGGTGCTGGATTCGGTCTCATAAAAGAAGTCTATCGAGGCTGGGTGAGGTCCTCTCCTCTTGGAAAGGAAGAGGATGCCAAACAGGCTGTGGAGATATTCACGAGTCAGTCATAGCGTTCTTCCCAATTAGCAACCCATGCTAATCATGGATTTTTGGTCCTAGACCCTACGCACGCCGTCGTGTGGCCGCCATTTCTGTTCTTAACTGAGCTTTACAACCATGCACTACTGACCATGGGTGATGAGGAGTTTTTTTCTTCATCGTTAGGCGCCACACGATCCCAGCGGGTTGGAGTTGGCAACTCGCTTACTTTGGATGAGCTGACGTCATTTTCGCGCCAACTTCTCAATATCGCATTCCCACTGTACTGGCACGAGGACCAAGCAAATCTCAAAGATGCAATGGTCCCTGGCGTCAGGATGAACTGGGAGGGTGTAAGGGATAGAGTCACACGCTGTCTACAAGCTATTCATGCACGAGAGTGAGCCTACTTTTCCCTCCTTATTGAGTGATGTATGATTGTTAAATGCGTTGGTCAGCTCGAGACGGCCCTTCACGCCTCCAGATCATTGGTTAGTTACCTCCCAGATTGATGTGTCGTCCTTCGTCACAGCTGCCGTGTATGTCTCAGATTGTACTGTTCCCCTATGCCGTATTGAATTCACCATCAATTCTTAGTGCTGAGGAGCAAGAACTTGATCGCCCCGCACCGAGGTCACGTGTTTTGTCGAAGCGCAAAATGGCCTTCATTTCGCCTCGTCTCGGTGTTTTGAACAATATTCCATTCGCGATTCCTTTTTCTGTCCGAGTGCAGATCTTCCGACAGTTCATCGCTAATGATGCACATCGCCTTGGTTTGGATGATTGGTATGCCCGCCCAAAGCACAAGGCCACTATTCGTCGTTCATCGGTCGCTCAGGACGGCTTCGATCAACTGGGAAGTCTTGGTGCCGCATTGAAGGATAAGATTTCGATTACTTTCGTTGATGCTTTTGGTAACGAGGAAGCTGGTATTGATGGGGGTACGTTGCTCAAGATGTATGTTCTTGTGTGTCCCTGACCATCGTCTGTAGGTGGCGTATTCAAAGAATTTCTGACTTCGTGAGTTGCTGGTCTCACTGCTCTGTGATGATTCCCCTGGTTTATCGAGTGCCATGCTCTAGATTGACCAAGGAGGCGTTTGATACTGATCGCGGCTTGTGGCTAGCGACAGCCCGTCAAGAACTTTATCCAAATCCGCACTCTTATGCCAAAGAACGTGAGTGATCGGTCAGATGACCCAAGAAATGCGCACAGTGACTTATTTCCATTGATTTGCAGCGCATCAACTTAATTGGTACAGGTTCATTGGCAGAGTCCTCGGGAAGGCATTATATGAAGGGATTCTTATCGATGTTGGGTTTGCTTCTTTCTTTCTTGGAAAGGTGAGGCTGTCTTGCATCAACACGTGGTGTTCATACTTACAGTTCATTGTTAAGTGGCTCGGAAGGCAAAGTTATTTGGATGATCTACAGTCATTGGACCCGGAGCTCTATCAAGGGCTCGTCTTCTTGAAGCATTACGACAGTCAAGTAGAGAAAGTGGAAGACCTCTCACTTAACTTCACGGTCACCGTACGCCCCTTGTATTTTCTTGTATTGAGGGAGCTTCTAATAACATTAAAACAGAATGACGAATTTGGGGTCCCCAAATCAATCGATCTACTCCCTAACGGCAGCAATATTGCAGTCACCAAGGAGAATAGGATCCAATATATCTATCTTGTGGCGAACTATCGACTCAACGTGCAGATAAAGAAACAAAGCGAGGTGCTTATTCGTAGGAGTGTGATTCTCTGCGGCCGTGACTGAATCTCCTGACGAAATGTAGGCTCTGTTTGAGGGTGTGGCAGAGATGATCGATCCGAAATGGCTTCGGTACAGAAACTATTTCTCTCTTGCGAAGAGATATAAGCTTGGCCTGACAGTATCTCATGATTAGAATGTTTAATCAGCAAGAGCTGCAGATTCTTATTGGTGGGGTTGAAGACCCCGTCGATGTGGACGACCTCATGCGCAACTGTGTTTATGGAGGAGTGTATGATGAATCCCACGCAACGATCCAGCTGTTTTGGAAGGTGTGTGGACGATATTTCTCGTGCAGCCTTCAGTGACAAAATGCGGAGTCTAGGTTATGCGGACATTGAACCAGAAGGAACGACAGTCTTTTTTGCGTTTCGTGACTAGTTGTAGTCGGCCCCCTCTCTTGTGAGTGCGCAATTCTATTCAACCCGAATTGACCAAACTGGAATGTCGTAAACGTTAGAGGGTTTCAAGAGCTGAATCCTCGTTTC